CTGTGAAGAGCTAGGGCTGAGCCCTGGGAAGAATACCGATGGAAGCTAATTCCAGCTCATAAGGATCGCCTTTGAAAATGCTCCTTCCCCAGGCATCAGGTGCTTAAACCTGGAGGCGTCTCAACATCACGACTGTTGCAATACAGAACGTGGAGAACGAAGTGGCTTTCATGTGCAGCAGAGTGCTGTAAACATAGATCACGCTACTTGCTCTTTGTTTATGCTACCTTGAACATTATGAGATAAGCTCACCAAAGAAACAGGCAACAACATCAAATCAAATAGATATACAGGGGGAATTATTTTGCTTCTTCAAAATCCAAGGATATTTGATGGAATAAAACAATATGTGTTTCACTTACCAGTCTATGCTACACTAGCACAGCTCATCCTGCTTTAGATGTTACCTTTGCAAGATCAGAGCTTCTTCCCTCTGGCAGAACCCTTGGCCATTTATATGTCTGAAGCATATGTGAGAGATTAGGTTGGCCAGAACTCATGCCAGCATCACAAACCCAACTAAAGGGGACATTGCAATGGAATATATGTGTGCAATTAACCTTTTCATCTGATTTTCACATACAGGTGGCCTGGAATGTTATTGCAAAGAGGCAGTTCATCTCAGAATTATAACAAAATGTTTGTTTTCGTGTGGACAGTCATCAGAAGACTCTGGAGGGATGTTAGGGTTTTTTTATTTAAAAAAAATGAAGCAGCAGATTTTTGAGCCCAAACCGATGTTTCATTTGATGTCAGATGGATTTCGTTCCAAGCAATCCTCTATCTAGAATAGGTGTAAGCAAACTTTTCCAGCAGGGGGTCAGTCCACTGTCCCTCAGACCTAGTGGGGGGCCGGACTATATTTTTTGGGGGGGGAATAAACAAATTCCTATGCCCCACAAATAACCCAGAGATGCATTTTAAATAAAAGCACACATTCTACTCATGTAAAAACACACTGATTCCTGGACCATCTGCAGGCCAAATTTAGAAGGCGATTGGGCCGGATCTGGCCCCTTGGCCTTAGTTTGCCTACCCATGATCTAGACGTCTGATGTGATTCAGTCACACTTGCTGCTAAGTACCGTATTTTTCACTCTATAAGACGCACCAGACCACAAGACGCACCTAGTTTTTGGAGGAGGAAAACAAGAAAAAAAATATTCTGAATCTCAGAAGCCAGAACAGCAAGAGGGATCTCTGCACAGTGAAAGCAGCAATCCCTCTTGCTGTTCTGGCTTCTGGGATAGCCGCGCAGCCTGCATTCGCTCCATAAGATGCACACACATTTCCCCTTACTTTTTAGGAGGGAAAAAGTGAGTCTTATAGAGCAAAAAATACGGTAAGTCCCTTGAATTCTGCATAGGTCCGGGCTGCATGTGTTGCATTTTGCAGCCTTGCTAATCTGGTATGCAACCAAGAGGTGGCAGCACTATATCCATTTTACATTTACTTCAAGTTTAGTAATTGAATTGTTGGTAATCTCATGAATTTTTCATTATTATTGTTATTAAGATTTACCAGCCACCTTTCTACAGGAGACGGGAAAAATCAGTGTTCAAAGCAACTCCAGATATGCTGAGATATGAGAAGGCACCAAAAACAAAAGGTGCATAACATAAAAAGTTAGCAGCTTGGGTTCACGTACACATAGAGTGTGCTTTAAAAATTAGTAAGGGGGCAATTCATACAAAGTGTCATGTCCTATTACGTCCAGATTGCAACAACATTTCAATGACGTAGCAGGTAGCAGTTCTAATCTTTGCACATCAGGAACAAGTGACTTATCATATTAAATTCAAACATTTATTATTATTATTATTATTATTATTATTATTATTATTATTACATATGTGTATACCGCTATTTATCCAAGGTTCACAGGGTGATTTTCAACATAAAAATACAAAAATGAGAACACAAAATACATAATAATAAGCTACTAACCCTCCTCCTACAAGGCCATTGAATGTTAACCAGCCAAAAGCCTGGTTACAGAGAAACATTTTAGCCTAGTGTCTAAAGATATGTAATGAAGGCTTTTTATGGTTCCAAAAAAGGGGGGGGGGGCTATATCTGTGATAGAGCCTGGTGCAATAAACATAGGTTAGCTAAAATGGATCCAGAGAGCAAATGCTAGTGTATCTTAGCTGCTCAGAATCGTGACTACAATATAGAGAGAAGTAATTTCAGAGCAATGCCTGAAGGCAGGATGCCGTTTGATAAGGGAGGCAGTAAAACTTGTGGAAGATAAAATGAAGCTAGTTGGAAGTGGTAACAAAATAAGAGTTTCAATGGTGCATAACATACCTAGTTCTATAGGAGCTATCTGAAGTATAAAGACTTACAGACACTGAATCACTACAGAACCGAAGTATCGATCAGATAGTTGTCTAAATACACATACAGGGGGAAGTAGAATCAGGCTCACTGGCCCTGTTTCCTGTGTTCTTTTCAGCCTACAAATCCATACAAACTTTATAAATGAAGTCTCTGTGTGGTGGTATATCCTCTGTGTGGCGGTGGACCAATAGGTAGGGTCCGCAGTTAGAAGTGGACAGATCTGTCGATTTCTTGTTTCTTCCGGTTTCTCCCTTTTCAGGTCTAAAATTCAAATATTTCTCTTCCCCCCCCCCCATCAAGGTCATTTAGTTTCAGAATATTGTGCTGCATTCCACTCCTCCTTCGTGCTAGTAGTGCTAAGAACATTTCTAAAATTAATTATTGGAGAATGTGCCGTTTTGAATGTTAATATTGCATACCCAGATATTAGCAATGTGCATATATATAATGTTGATACACCGCAAATAAACACTATGCTTTTATTATCACATTTATTTTAGTATATAATTTATGTATAGAAAGAAAACACATGGGACTGTACAGATTGCTATACTTCCTCTGCTTTTTTAAAGGATGACAAGTTCCAGAAGTGAAACACTCATTGGGTTTTTGTTTCCTTTGGAAGGAGGTCACCGGAGTATTGCCTCTTTTTTGTAATATTTGGGCTTATTTACAAATAAGAAGGATTTTATATAGGTATAGACATAGCTTAAATACTGTGAAAGTATCAGGAATGAGCCAGCTCCCAGCGAAGGTTTGCAGCAAACTGCAGAAAGCAGCCAGGAACAGAGAGGCAGGGGAGAGCTGGCAGCTGCAGACTTCGGCTTTTCCTGACCTTGACAGGCAGGCTGATAAGGCAGTAGCTGACAGCAGGCTAGAACATAGGTAAAGCTCGCAGGAAGCACAAATAGGAGAGAATAGATTCAGAGACAGCCTCTCAGACCAGGAAGAGGTTGGAGCTGATCCACTAAGTCTGAAGAGTCGGCGAATGGAAGGGCTGCTAGATAGGAAGCAAAACAAGAGACGTAAGGGTCTTAAGTTTATTTTTTTTATAATTGATATTTATTAAGTTTTCAAAGAATAACAACAAAAATTTCCAAAAAAATTTGAGAGTACAAAAAACAAAAATAGTACATAAACAAAAAAGAAAAGAAAACCCAGCCGCAAAGAAAAAAAAAAGAAAAACAGAAAAACAAAAGTATAAAGTCCTTTACAATCTCTATTGACTTCCTTTCTAGACTTCCTCCTCCTCCCCTCTCTTGTTTCTTAATTTTTAATTTTTACAGCAAATCCTTTCTGTTTTTTCATAACAATCTGTCATTACGTTTCCTTATTCTATTTTCCCTCTTGTCATATAAAAACTTTAAGACTCATAGCTTATATTCAATATTTACCAAATTCTTACATCATTACCTTTTTACGAATCATTTACCAATCCTTACTTAAGCCATGTAATTTCATTCAACATCCTTCAAACATTTGTAAGCATTCCCAATATTAAAAAATAAAAAGGAAAAAATAATAAGTCAAATTCAGTCCAGTCAGCTTCCAACCTTCCCTCCCCTGGACCCGGGATTGTCAGTCCTTTTAACCTCGATAATCCGGCTCCTTAACCTGGTTGTCTCGTATCCGAGGCCCTCAAGTCTCTTTCTTGCCCCTTTCGCCACTCTTGCTGATGATTCCCTTCCAGTCGTGGATGCTCCAGCAAGAAAATGCTTTTGACCCTTTGCAGCAAGTCCATCCCAAACCCATTGCCCAAGCCAGACAGCAAATAATACCACTTCAAATTTCCACAAAGCTTGGAGACTTCGGCTACTCCAATCCTCTGATAGCCCATCACTAGACTCGGAAGGTCCAAATAACCATATGGAGGGGGGTCGATCCATCCCCCCATTTCCAAATCTGACCACATTTCATCTTTCCGAATCTGGTTTGTCCCAAGTTCATTTATCAAGTTCAAAGGCTGATCTTGCCCGTCCAAAGGTCCCTCCATCTCTGAAGCCTCCATCACTACAGCAGGTTCATATGGTTGTATAGCCTTTAACTGAATTTCATTTGTTTGCTGCTGTGCTCTGGTAACTTCCATCATCAAGGTCGTCTCCTGACGCATCTGGTCCAGCTGGGCACTTAGTTTTGAAAAACCTTCCAGGAACAATTGTTCAAGCCTTTGTACTAGCATTGTCCTTCAAGGTCGAAGAAAATTCTTTCCCACGACAATAGTCCAATAGTCCTTCTCTTTTAATCTCTCTGCGTTGCAATTTCACTAAATTCCACTAGATGGATTTTTTTTTTTAAAAGGAATAAAAGCAACAGCAACAATCTTTCTTTTTCCAGAAACACTTTATCCAAAATTCCCCTTCCAAATTCAAGAGGCAACAGTAGAATCAAAATGTTACCCTTCTTTTAACTAACTGTCGAGCTGGATAAACTTCAGAACGTCAATTCTGACAGCCCGCTCCTGGTTCAGGGCGGTGGAAAATTGCTTTATTTTAAACTCACTTCCGCAGGATTGCAAAGTCCAAATACAACCCCCTTCTTCTCCTGCAGTCAAAGGGGGGTTTCAGAAATCTTAGATGTTGAATTCTAGTTCTCTTAGAATTTAATTTTCAAGCTTTAGTATATTTTGTCTTTGCTTTCTTCATGTAACAAAAGAACGGAAGGCGACTTCCTGTTTAGACCTTCCCGTTCCGAGTCCCAATTAAGTTCAATTTCAAGTCCAATATTATTTGTTTATTCACCAGTCTTAAAAGTGGTTCAACTCTTCCAAGATCAGGTACTCACGGATAGATATTTTAGATGCCAAATTGTCCAGGAAAAAGGCAGCGCTCTCCGATAACGGCAGTGCGGCTTTGCTGCACGGAGGAAGCAGTCGACTCACAGCACCACGCACCTCCCACTCCGGAGCCCGTTACCGGGCTCCTGTACAAGGGAGAGAGCGCTCTCGGTGCCCGCCGAGTCCCACGTCCACAGGCTTCTTCCGCCTGTGGTTTTTGAGGGTCCCCGCTGCGCCGTAGCGGCAGGACCCAAGCCTCCGTGCAGCGGGTTCCCTTCAGTCCGAAGGGAATTCCGCCATTTTCCGGAGGCGCCACCCCGGAAGTCCCAAGGGTCTTAAGTTTAATATCTTCTGTCGATGCCAGAAGACGTCTTCAGAAGGGTCATCTTGAGTAATGATCCCAGAGGTTTTGTTAGAGCCATCTGGAGCTATCTGTTTGTTTTTGCAATAAATCCTCCTTTTTAATTATCTACGCTTACTGTGTTATCTTGAGAGTGGAAACTCTTGAGAGTCCCATGGACTGTGGAAACTCTTGAGAGTCCCATGGACTGCAAGAAGTTCTAACCTCTCCATTCTTAAGGAAATCAGCCCTGAGTGCTCACTGGAAGGACACATCCTGAAGCTGAGGCTCCAATACTTTGGCCACCTCATGAGAAGAGAAGACTCCCTGGAAAAGACCCTGATGTTGGGAAAGATTGAGGGCACAAGAAGAAGGGGACAACAGAGGACAAGATGGTTGGACAGTGTTGTCGAAGCCACAGACATGAGTTTGACCAAACTGCGGGAGGCAGTGGAAGACAGGAGTGCCTGGCGTGCTCTGGTCCATGGGGTCACGAAGAGTCGGTCATGACTAAGCGACTAAACAACAACAACAACAACTGTGTTATCAAGCTGGGAAACTGGACTTCTGACAGAAAGACAAAGTCCACTCTTCCCACATAATATCTCCATAAGATGACGGCTAGTACCCCAAAATTATGTAGTCGGGCATATCCAAACTCAGCTCCCTGTCTCTGGTTTAAACTTGCAACCTATGGGTCATTTCACATGTAGATACCTATATGACAACTTCCTTAGTTGGGGGAAGGAGATCAGCTTCCAACTCCTTTCAAGTATATAGAATGACATAGGGAAAATGGTCTAACAATTAGTTCCCATGGAAACACACCACCAGGCTATTAACACACTTTTGACAAGTTCTAGGCTGTTCCAGACATTGCCTCTGGTAGAGATGGAGGTGAAATTCAATTCAGTTCTCATTTAAAGATGGATTTAGCCATTTCACATTTCTCAAGACAATGCATGAATTGAAACATGAGCATACTCTGAAATTCGCACTTCTCTGAATTTTGCAATGCACTTCTCCTGCCATGTAATGGGTGCCAAAATGCATACCGTGTGCTAAAAATGCACATCTCAGTCAAAATTAAAAAGCATTACAGTGAGGGAAATTTCTTGGTAAAAATGTGTATCAGGGAAAGTTGCATATAAATGTATACTTTAGAATAAATTTGCAGTAATGTATTGATGAATTTTCATGAAGACTTAAAAAACCCCACAATAAATTGATGTAGAAATATGAAGAACTGAATTTAAAACTAAAAAATAGGAAAACTGAGAAAAACTGAAACTTACAGATTCACCCATCCCTTGTTACAATTACTGTAACACCCTAATAGTGGGAACTCCCACTATTGACTGGAGCTGATGTGAGTCATAGCCCAACAACATTTAGAAGGCTGCATGTTTGAAAACCTGCATTAAACAATGGTTGCCAGCAATTCCCATAATTGCAGTAGAAATCTGCTGTGTTGGCTTGTATCCATTCCAGTCTGATTTACACTGACATTTTAAACCACAACTGCATAACTGAAGACAGTTTGCAGGGACCAAGCAGGGAAATCTGGCTAGCTTGTTTTGCACATTAACTACACTATCTTCTTCTTCTTTGGTGATCACTTGAAGCCAAGTAAGATTATCTTCCATAAACAGTTTTAATAATGAGTCTGTAAGTGACTGTGGAGGCCAATTCTGAATCCATACATCCTTCCACAGTGGGGACATTGGTTTCCGGTCGGGAGTTGATCATGGTGTGGATTTTCCAAGGGTGCCTTCCTCTTAACACATTTCTCCCTTGTGTCCTGAGTTTGAGTGTCTTCAAAGCCCATGGCACCTTTGGTAAAGGCTGTTCTCCAATTGGAGCGCTCGCAGGCCAGTGTTTCCCAATTGTTGGTGTTTATACTACTTTTTTAAGATTTGCCTTGAGACAGTCTTTAAACCTCTTTTGTTGGCCACCAGCATTACGCTTTCCAGTTTTAAGTTTGGAATAGAGTAGTTGCTTTGGAAGACGATAATTAGGCTTCCGCACAACATGACCAGTCCAATGAAGTCGATGTTGAAGAATCATTGCTTTGACACTGGGGATCTTTGCTTCTTCCAGTGCACTGGCATTAGTTCTCCTGTCTTCCCAAGTGATGTGTAAAATTTTTCGGAGACACCGTTGATGGAATCTTTCAAGGAGTTGGAGATGGCGTTTATAAGTGGTTCATGTTTCAGAAGTATACATTAAGGTTGGTAGTACAATAGCTTTGTAAACGAGCATTTTGGTTTCCCTGTGAATGTCCCAGTCCTCAAACACTCTGCACTTCAATCGGGAGAAAGCCGCACTCGCGGAGCTCAGGCGGCCACACTATAGCATTATTTTAAACCACAGTGTAGTATTAAGCAAACCATAGTGAGTTATTCACACCACCTCACTTTCCATAAGTTGATGCTTGCTGTTTGATTTTGCCTGATACCCGAAGACACTGAACGAGGAGCACAATCTACTTCGTTTTATATTGTGTATAACTTGCTAAACAGAATTCTTTTTTCTAAGAAACAATTAAATCAAATACATTAGCATTATCAGAGAATTTCCCATCACTTGATTCAAATTATTTCACCAGACTCGCACGCAACTCCCAAAGAACAAAAGGGGATGCTGAACAAATGAGCTGTCCAATTTTCAATAACGCTTTTGTTCAGTTGTTGGAACAAATCAAACTAGAAAACAAAGCAGGGAAATAATGATGCATGATGACAGAAAGTTCATTTGAAGCCACAGAAATGTGAAATAGTACTGTGACAAACATCCAAGGCAAAAAAAAAAAAGCCGTGATCTTATTGCTCAATATGATAGAAATGAGGTGAGATTTTGAATCATGAAGTTTGTGCGCAGTGGGAATCGTAAAATACAGACAGTGTGTGTGCATGTGCATGTATGTACATAACCATGTGCACAAGGCAGGATATTCGTTATTTCTATATGGGTAAGGGGGGGTGCAAAACATACAGGATAATGGTTATAACAGGTTCTGGCTGTTAACGTTAATTAATTTCCTTTTGAATCAATGTTTGCCCAGGCATTTGCAGACTAAAAGTTAGTGTCCCTGGCAACCTTGATATTATTAGCTGTTGACAGGTTTAAAAAATGTTTTAAAATGATTTGTGCTTATTTATTTATAGTTGTATTGTTTTCTTTCTTTATTTCTGAAATTTGTACCCGCCTTTTCCTGCTTATACAGTTTGCTTGGTACTTGCAACAAAAAGTCACACAATCCCAGCAAAACAGAGAGAGTAAATAGAAATCCACAAATGCTTGAATAAATAGAAATGTTTTGTTTTTTCAATAGCCAGCAGAAGCACGTGACTGAGGGTGCCTAACATACCTTGGACTGAGGGTGCACCACACAATAAAATTCCAAAAAATAGGAGCACATGAGATATTTTTCTTCGTCTTCCCAGTCTGCAAATGTAGCCATTTTAAAAATAAATTGTAGCAATTGCCTCTGATTGCTGAGCCCATGGGTTCTCAGTTTAAAAAAATATGTTTTAATAATTGTTTTTAAATGCTTTAAATGTGTGTTTATTTTATTTTTAATTGTGTTGTTTCACTACTGATGTGTTTGCAGCCTTGGGCTCCTTTGGGAAGAAGGGAGGCACAGAAACTCAATAAATAAATAAATCATCCTGGGTGTTACTTCTCCCCCTCCACCCTCAGTCCTCTCCACAATTTTTATACGATTGTTCCTACTCGAAATACAATTTTCCTTAATTTTATATTTGCTAATTTAGCCAAGAGAACATAATATGAAATAATAATAATAATAATAACCAGTATATGCACAAGGACAACCATCAGCTTACATTAAGGATACAGTCACTACCAGTATACTCATCATAACTTTAACATATAGATGAATATAAGCACTCCAGATCTCCAAACAGTTATAGAATCATAGCATCATAGAAAATAATATCTATGGAACAATCCTATGGCAAGATCTTCTGGAATGAGCAGTTTAGGAGGCAGATCTGGCCCTCTTCTGGGCTCCCCAAACCTGGCTCAGCATAGCTTGCTCATCCCAGTACATTTGGGACTGAGTTGGCTGAGATGAGGCTAGATTAAGACCCAAAACTGAAGTGTCCTAGGGGTCGGATGGGATGGGAGCAGAGGGGAGGACTTAGGCTAGCTCTATCTTGGTCATTTGGGTTAGAATCCTCTTTTAAAGACTTGTTTTCTCTCTGCCAAGCTTAGGCAGAGGAGAATGCTCTCTGATGAACAGGGTTTTGATCTTGAGTGTAACTTTATGCCACCTTTAATTTACACCAGCTTTTTGCACCAGGTTCTTGATTGCTCCCTAGATGTTCAAACGTTTTTCTCCTCTGTCTCTACCCTCCTCTCCACAGTTCTTGATGTGATTGCCAATGAAGAGGAGGAACCACAGAAATAAAAAGAACATTCATCCAAGTACAACTCCTATTTCTCATCGGAGATTTCACACACAGGAGAAAACGCATATCATGTGTTGTATTTTAGGGCACATCCAATGTGTATTTGCGGCACGTTGGAAGTATAGGCTGTTAAGAGTTTGGCTTTGTTTGTTTTGTTTGTTTTTTGAGGAAAGGGTGTTTAATTATCCTGTGTTTTTGTTGTTTTGCTATTTGTATTTTAATATATTTGCTTTTCCCCATGACTGGGTGAGCTCCCATTGCTCAGTCCCTGCTCCTGCCAACCTAGCAGTTCGAAAGCACTTTAAAGTGCAAGTAGATAAATAGGTACTGCTCCGGCGGGAAGGTAAACGGCGTTTCCGTGCGCTGCTCTGGTTCACCAGAAGTGGCTTAGTCATACTGGCCACATGACCCGGAAGCTGTATGCTGGCTCCCTTGGCCAATAAAGCGAGATGAGCGCCGCAACCCCAGAGTTGGTCACAACTGGACATAAAGGTCAGGGGTCCCTTTACCTATATTTGCTTTGGCTTTGTATATATTTTAATTCATCTAGT